GGGCTTCAAAGTTTTATATCAGCTGTACAGCAGCTTTATATTTTAAAAAGGCCATTATCGGGCTATTAGCGGGTTTTGTGGTTACTTGTGTTAGCCCTTGTGTTAGTGTGCGGTGAACTACTGGCAGAAGAAAAAAATGAGTGAACATTCTTCTTTCGTAAAGAAACTACCCTTCACTTTAACTACCCAAGTAACAATCAAGCTTGCTAAAACAAAAAGTGAAACATAATGCTGATATAAGGCTAATATAAAAGTTTAAAGTCATGTATTAGCCTTATATTGCAAAAAGAGCCCTAGAAGGGTATTCTTGCAGTATGCATGCATCATTCACTACCATCGTGCCGGGGCCATTTATAATTGCCACATTGCCAAATGCAGAAGTGCCTGGCGCCGATTGTGCGATCAATCAACTGTATATCCTAGCAAACACGATAGTTCCTTTAATATTGAGTTAGGACGACTTGAATGTGAAATACATTAATTATTAAACATTGATCTTTTTATAAGAGCTTGACTTTTTTAAAGTGTCGGAATGCTGGAATAAATTAAATAGCAGAACATTAAATATTTCCCTCAGTCTCAGAATCCTAAGAACTGGTTGAATCGCAAAATTTCTTCAAGTTTGGGATTTAATTTTTTAAAGTCACAATATCTTTAAGAATTTAGTCCGGTATGTTGCAAAAATAGCTTAGTCTTAGTTGAAGATCTTGATAAATTTTGCTGATTTTTTTTAGTAATGCTAATGGTGCAGGATGAGATGTGCCATTAATTGATTTCAATTCCGATGAAGGTCTGAATTGAAATTGATACAGCGCAGTTTGGACACCCAAGTAACCAACAAGCTCGTTAATAGCCAATATAAGACTGATGAAAATGAGAAAAGCATCTATCCGTTATCAAAATAACCACCTTCGAATGGGCGATATCAGTTTGCTTTGTCATTTGACGAAAGTATGGATCATTCTCATTTGAGAAACGCTTGAAATCATTCAACTGAGTGTAACATACACACAAGCGGAGCTCTGGTCGACATTCCGGCGAAAAAGCTAAGCCAACACGACACCATCCTGACTTCTACTAAACCCAAAACCCGATGTTGAGCTGACATTAACCCAACATAAACCTGTCATTGGATCGACATCTACCTTAAATTTGCCTTACATTGATTTGACATCGGGTCGACATGTTTGTTCGGGACCATTTTCCGGGTTTCTTCCATACTCTACTGCAGCGTTGCCAGATATACCGATTTATCGGTATTTGTACCGATTTTTGAACTTGATACCAAGATACCGATTTTTTAGATTTTATACCGGTTTACATCGATTTTTTAATAATCACAATTATTAATGTCTGCCTGCACTCAAATGTCAGATCGACTTTTATCGTTCTGTGACAAATGTGTGATAAGCAACCCAACATTGAAAGCTAAATAAGGACTTATTCAGGCAAAAATGTGCAGCTTCAGCTAAAAAATAGCATACTCAGCTTTTAATGAGCTTAATTGTTTGATAGGAATGTATACTATGGCTACCCAGAAATCGAGAAACAGCTAATGGCGCACCTAGGTAATTCCTGGGAACCAGGAAATACTTTTGTCTTTTATGACACCAAAAAAAGCTTCAAACTTTCTTCTTAAGTTTCTTTTAAATTACCTCAAGAAGTTTTTCTACACCCAACCGAGGGATGTAAGATTAGCTTACAATTATGTGGGATTCATCATCAGAGGATGTTAGTGGAGACCACATGAACCGAGGATGCGATATACCTAGCTGCGGTCCAATGCAAGAAAATTGGAGACCGAAAAATGTAGAGTGTATTAGTGAGGTAAATTAGTTATGTCGAAAAAAATAGGAATCCGATTGCCGACTGGACTCGAACCAAGAACGCTTCGATTATCAGACCTCTGCTTTCTCCACTGCTCTCTCCATGCTCCTGAATATGGATAGCCTAAAAGCAAACATGAAGCGCTCATTTTCTCGCATACTAGACTTCGTATGCTTTTTCTGCTGGAGAGATTCGAGGCAAGTGTGTGCGTCGTTCTACAATGTTCTACAATGTGCGTCGTTCTACAAGCTTACTGGTATAGTCGAAAGCGTAGATAGAACACGAAATGAAAAAGACAAAAAACCATTACATCGCCTGTAAGGTCAACTTCTAACATTCGCTGCGATGTTTATGAACAGAGGATGATAGGAAACGGAACTAACATTCATTTTAATAGATTTTTGGTTTGCGTGTATCTTTTCCAGGAAATCCCTTTAAACTTCAACCGGAAGTAGCATCGAATTCTCCCAGAAGCTTATTATTTCATCTTCCGTTTCTCGATAAGCTTCTTCCGGAAGTTTTTCCGACTTCTATTGGAAGGTTTTTCCAAGCTTCTTCTAGCTTTCCCTGAGAATGGCCAACCCTGGAATTTTCTTCCGATTTCCGGAACCTTTCTGGCTTCCTTTAGATATGTCATCCGATTTTTTCCGATAGTTTCTTTAAATTTTCGCTAGAAGTTTCTCATTATTTTTTCTAGGAAGTTCCTCGGATATTTTTCCGACTTTTCATAGAACTTTCCTTAAAATTCCTCCAGAAAAGCTTCTTTCTTCTTTCTGTTTTTTCGGCTTCCTTCAGAAGCTAATTCAAAAATTCCCTGAAAATTTCTTCCGACTTTCCTAGAAAGGTCGGTCTTAAATAGGTGCATGATTCTAAGATTTTCCAAGCTAAAAAAAACAGTCCAAACCACTCCAATACGAAATATCCCTTTACAAAGTGTATGCTTCCTTCAAAACCGTCCAAAAGCTTTTGCAAGATCTTGCAAAGACTTGTGAGCGATTGTGAGAGATGTGTATGCTTAGAAAATGAGATTAGATCTTGGATTGGTTTGGGCTGGTTTTCTTAGACTCAAAAATCACCTCTAACTTCTTAGTCCAAACGTTTTAAATTTTCGCCTTTGGAAAAGGCAAAAATATAAAATCAATAAGTACCTAAATATCGATAAATACCGATTTTTTAAAATCTTTGATACTGATAAGCTTGAAAATAATCTGGCACTGTCATATATTGAATGATAGGGGGCTGTTCATAAACTACGTAGACAGTTTAGGGGGAGGGGGTTGGCAATCATCTACGGTCCATACAAATTTAATTTTTTTTTTCGTATGGGCAATTGTCTACGCAGGAGGAGGGGTCAAGAATCCCAAAAAAAATGTCTACGTAGTTAATGAACAGCCCATAGTGAGTGACTTAATTGACAGTCCCGATGAGGTTCGATTGAGAAAGGGGCTCTTCTAATGATGGGCATGAGAGAATTCGGTTTCACAGAATTGATTGAATGGTTTTATTGGTTCATCTTCAATGATATGAAAATTAACAGCACTGCTTGCCAAACAATTTTACTAATGCAAAAATGGTACACATATCGAAAGCTCTCAATTAATAGCTGTGGAAATGTATCTAGATAACTAAGCTGAGAGCACGCAATAAGCCAATAGGGTAGGTGTACCAGCTATGGCGATATGTTCCTATTATGGTGTGTTCCAGTTATGGCCTATTGAATTCTCATCGGCCATAATTGGAAAACACCATAAAAAGAACGTACAACCATAACTGGTGCATCTACCCTATGCAATAAGCAATAAACTTAAAAAGCGAAGAAGTTGAAGAAGAAAACGAAGAATTTACCTGTTTACCCTAAGGAAATTTCAGTAGAAAGTTAGGAGTCTAATGATGAATGATGAAGTGGAAAATGATGTGTGTGTGTGTGTCGTCCACGGATGGTTCAATCAAGCGAAGAAAATTGCGTTTAAACGTAATTGAAATTGGTCGTAACATAACAGGCACAAAATAAAAGTGATGTTGGCGGTACGATGTGACGTGTGTTCAAACCTGGAAATCACGGTTGAATCCTTTCGGGACGGTCAACTTGAATCCTATTTTGCTGTAATTTTATAACTGATGTTTCATTTTGCGTGACACAGTGTCGACTTTTCCCTCGGGCACACTGCACAGTGCAGTGGTCCAGGATGGGAATTGAAAAAGTATATTATGAAATTAGTTCAAAATTTTTTAACTGACAGAACTCTGTAGGTAAATTATCGAAATTTCAAATTAGAACGTCTACCTTCAAAGCAGGAGTTCTTCAGGGTAGCATTCTTGGACCTATATTGTATTACATTTTTACTTCGACCCTCCTTTATTTGCCTCAGGGTCGCCACAAATCTTTGTTCACCGATGACACATACATTTCGCCTAAAGGAAGAAGTCTTCGTGTTATTTGCAGCAGACTGCAGACAAGTTTATGTATTTTTTCTTCTTAATTACAAAAATGGAAGATTTCTCCCAACGCTTCCTCAACTTATAAACATTTCTACATATGCCTAGAGCTTCCTTTTTGAAACCTAGTAGTAGTCACATAGCTACTATGAACGGAATTCCAATTTCTTGGTCAAGTCAAGTGAAATAACTTGGATTAGTACTTGACCAAACGTAGTACTTGGCGCCGGTGGTGTAGTGGTAAGCGTGATGTAGTGGTAACCGTGATTGCCTCTCACCCCATCAGGCCTGAGTTCAATCCCAGTCGATGCTGCTGGGATTTTCTGAGGCATAAAATCTCTGATCACGCCTTTCTTCGGAAGGAAAGTGAAGCCGTTGGTCACCGGTTCATGAGTTGATGGGTCGATAGGTAGGGTCCAGGTGTGGGAGCTGCCTCCCTGGCGTCGGTAGCATTGGTGCTCAGCACGGAAAACAATATCGACGGGGAAAAAATCAAGGAAAAAACTATGTTTTATTACAATTTTTTTTTTTTGGAAAATAAAAGTGTTTTTATATTACTCAGATAATTTCAAACTTTTTCTAAAGAAAACCTCAATTTAAAGTAATACCATCGCATAAAATACGAAATTTAGTTTAAAAGTCGCTGTGAAGAACTTCATGGAATGGGTGTCAATAAAAGTTTCAATTGAAAAAAAAAAACTGCATCAGTAAACAATATTTCAAAGAAATTAAAAACACTCAGTGTATAGATTAGTGCCAGAATGTGCTTATCTCAAGAAGAAAAACATCAGTAACCATGCCAACTCCGCTCTATCTGATACATAGTGCTAGATCGGTACGGTCAGAAACGGAACGTACTCTGGGAGTTTGTGGAACCACACCGCAAGACGAACAACTGCATCATGTGCCACATTTGGGGGTATGTTGTTCTCTGAACAGCGAATATGAAACTATGCGTGTCCGTGAAAATAAAGCTAGCATCCCATCGATTTTTACAGAATTGGCTACTGTCCAGACTGCTCAGAACGAAAGGGAATGGCCTTCATCCCAGTAAAGGGAGCAATGTAAATCAGCTCGAAAACAGTGAACTACAGGCTATACTTTCATCTCAGGCTGACGCAGAGGTTTGTTTGCTGAGCGAAAGTCCATACCGGATTTTGAGGGTAAGTTGAACAATTTTAAATCATATTTCCAGTTACTCCTGTGCTTTGCTGTAGTAAATCAAAAATTAAATGAAAGACAATTAAATGTGATCATCTAAATCTTGAATAAATTGCTTTCACGAGGCGTTTTAAAGATTTTTAAACTTATGTTTAAAAAAATGCTAACTTTTCCGAAATAAAAACAATGGTCTCTTCAAATTAGAGAAAAAAATATTGAACATCAGCTATTAACACAAATGTTGATCTTCTTTCAACAAAGAATATTTATTGCTTTTATACAGCACCTTATTACGGGTGTCACTTCATGGTGAAAACGAAGTGAAGTGCCCAACTAACAATTTTCACAATGAAGAGCTTTGAGTGGGTTGGTTTATTTCCTTTTAATTCCGTTATAATTGCTTATCTTTTGACAGATACGCGTATTTCGTCTACTACTTGCAGACTAAGTAGTAGACGAAATACGCGTATCTGTCAAAAGATAAGCAATTATAACGGAATTTAAAGGAAATAAACCAACCCACTCAAAGCTCTTCATAAAGGGATTCCGTTAAGAGGTTCGACAAATTTAAAGGATTAATTTTCACAATGTAAACGCTTTACTCATTTCATTTATACAGTCTCAAGCTGTATTCAAACGTTGTACGATATGAGGAAACTTTTACTCAACCTCTATACAAGCAAATCTGGCGAACTTAGTCAGCTACTTATGGCTGTTGGAACGGTCGGGAGAAGCTCTTATTGCATATCCATTAACGCTTATATACAGCTGTTATCCTGCTGTTTAGTTGTGTGTAAGTTCACACACAACTAAACAGCAGGATAACAGCTGTATATAAGCGTTAATGGATATGCAATAAGAGCTTCTCCCGACCGTTCCAACAGCCATAAGTAGCTGACTAAGTTCGCCAGATTTGCTTGTATAGAGGTTGAGTAAAAGTTTCCTCATATCGTACAACGTTTGAATACAGCTTGAGACTGTATAAATGAAATGAGTAAAGCGTTTACATTGTGAAAATTAATCCAAGTTCGAAAGGCGCTTATTCAACCTTTTCCCGGTTATCCAATAATCACTACACAGCTTTCTCTTGAAGCCGAGTTAAATACTGTTTACGCTTTTTTATGAAGAAATTTATTGAGTTTATTTTGCTGTGTATCAAATTAATCGAAATTAGTTACAAATCATCACCAAATTATTTACCCTGCACCGGAACCTAGAATCGAACTCGAGACGACCTCATTGGCAAACCTTGACACTACCAACTGTGCTACGCCAACACTTTGAACTTATGTAAACAAATCAACATTCCCTTCTACAACAAAATCGCTGAGTAGAGGCTTTATAATAGTGCACATGAATCACTTTTCTCGAATAGTTATAAAAGAGCAGAGTAAAAGCTGTAATACTGCACACGTCTAAAAATAAACCTAGTTGACTGTGAAAATGCTTCCGAATTTGCTCTAACACAGTTTATAAGCTGAGTACAGGTTATTTAGTTGTTGAAAAATCACTTTTGATGTTTATGTTATTCAGCAAGAGTGGTTGGTTGTGTAGAAGCCATCAAGTGAGTAATATATTCACTTTGTTAGCTTTGTTTTGCAGCTACAAGTTGAAAGTTGGGTAGTGTGTGTATACAAGTGACATTAGCGTTTATTGGCTGATGTTATTCAGTGTGACTGACCAATTGAATAATGGCTGTGAGAAAGTTGAGTAAACGCTCTCCAAAACTATTTTGCTAGCTTTTGCTTGTAGCTGTATCTGCAGCTTCTTTTCAGCTACTTTACAGCACAACGCTGGAAAAGTTGGCTTACAAAGCTGAAAATGTTAGTTGGGTGACCAGTTGTCACTCACGGTGAAGTGATTGCCGTGTAATTAAAACGAGAATCATTTCACTGTGAGTGATAAGTTGTCACTTCACCGTGAAGTGATATCGGTAATAAAGGCCACAGAAAATCATTAACTATTCAAAAATCAGATGTTTGAAAAAAAAGTTCAAAAATTATGCTAAAAGTTTATGTTCAAATTTTATTGAAATTTCCATTGTTTCCATTTAAGAAAAGTTAGCATTTTATAAAAACTTTCAAATAAACATTAGTTTAAAAAGCTTGAAAATGTATTTATTTTTTGTTATTGAATTCCTTAATAGTTTTTTCAGTGACTTTTTTCAGAGTGCATTTCGATTAGATGAACCTTTTTCGTGCTATGATTTATTGAAATATATCGAACACGCCATTTTGAAAAATTAAATGGCTGAATTCCAACACAAATTTATTCGTTGCCCGTAGCGAACGATCGATTTAAAGCATGGTTGATTTTTGCTACAGATGCCGCTAGTAAAAAAAAGTTACGGAGATTTATGTTGTATGCAAAAATACCGGAAAATGTTCATTTTAACTAAATATGGACCAATTTTTGGTTTCGATATCGGAAACAAAAATCATGATCGATCCAGTCGATTCAAAATAATATGAAACCCATCACCCATTCCTAATCCGCTTGTCAACTTCTCAGCTCTCAGATTAATAATACGTAAAGTAATGAAAACTGCGTAGGACCACTTTACCACTTTGGTTATTTTTGACTGCAGATTCAGACTCAGAGTCTAATGGCCTGAACAAAGAAATCAGGCAGAAATTTGACTTAGTCAAGGCACAAGCAGGAAATAGCTCAGGATGGAAATTTTTCACGTTGGTCCTTAAGACTAAAGCTCTAGTCAAAGTAAGGACGTCTGCCAAAAGCTGTTCCAATCGATCTGTCAAAATGCACTGCTTTGTTCGATTGGAATAAACTTTGTCACTTTTCTGGTTTCAGTCGTCCATACATTTACTAGAGGGCTTTACTCAGACCACTTCTGCTACATGAGTGACTGAGTAAATAAACAGAGGAAGTAGTTGTGTTCAATTTACAAGGGCGTCAAAATGAGCAAAATCTGATTAATTTTCCCAATTTCCCTGTTTTCGTACCAACAGCTAAAATTGCTTTTCCATTCATAATGTATATATTCAGCTCTTCCATAGCAAAAATATACAGTAGTTCTCAGAATTTTGTTAAAATTGGTAGTGGTTATGACTTAGATTATGTGACTTTGTATAGCTGTTTGTACGCATGGTAGTCTATCTGCATTGTCCATCTCCGTTCTATCGATCAGAAAAGATCAATAATATCAATGATTTCACCGTGCACAATTCAATAATATGTTTGTTCCGATGCCTTAGTTCATTAGCTACAACATAAACCCGGTTAGAGCGCATCGTATGAATATTTACGCTCTTTGTTCTCAGAACAAAAGAAGCGCTCCCTGCGAATCCCCTTTTTCTACGTTTATCCGTAGGACGAAGAAAATCTAATGGCGTTTCAATGCGTTAGGACGGAATTGAAACTTGTAGAACGAATTTAGAATCAAGAAGCAGTATTATATTTTAAACAATATCTCAACAATTTGTGGCTTTTTATCAAATCCAACGGTACGTCTGAAAAGGTGAATTAATTTAGAAGTCATCTTTGACAAAAAATCCATTTTTAGTTTAAACTCGTCGAGGAAAGAGAGGTAAAGTGCGCGTTGTGCTTAGTAGGACGGAAATTAGATCAAAAACCCTATTGAGCCCAAAACTTGATAAGTTCAAAAAAAAATCCAAAACTTAAAAAAAACACATTACTGTAAAACGCCTAAATTCTCAATGAAAAATATAAATACATTTTACGCACCCCGGAGGTGAACCAGCGTCTGGTTGAAAATCTCCTTAATAAAGACAACCAACCAACCATTTTACGCCCTCTATCTACAAACCATGAAAACCATAAAAAAACAGGTACAATCAATGGTTTTCAGAACAAAGTCCCAATTTTTTAACAATATTAAAAAAAAAATCCTGCCTTTCATTTGATATTTTGATCTTGGAAATCGGTTCATTGGTATGAATTTACGAAAAAAGTCATTTTTGAAAAATAAAATAAATATCAGGACCACTCTAACATGGAAATGGTCACACTAATGATAAAAATACGGGTCTATTATTTTGCAATAAGGAACAAAACTACCAATTTATACGAAATTCTGAGAACCACTATATTTTTTTGCTATTTTTTTGTTTTATTTTCTTTGATTTGTTTTCCTTGATTTGTTTTCCGTACTGAGTACCAATGCTACCGATGCCAGGGAGGCAGCTCCCACACCTGGACCCTACACGTACGTACGTATCGACTCATCAACTGATGAACCGGGGACTAACGACTTTACTTCCCTTCCGAAGGAGATGATTAGAGATGTTATACCTCAGAAAATCCCGGCGGTGCCGACAAGGATTGAACCCAGGCCTTTTGGGGTGAGAGGCAATAACACTTACCACTACACCTCCGGGACCGCTCTCGTTTTGCTATGGAATGGCTGTATTTTTATCGTCTACCAGTCTTTCAATTAGCACGCCAATCAACCATCAATGCTACAGATTGTTTCACTTTTTATTCAGTTGATGGAGGAAACTAACCGTAGTTACGCAGCTAATTTTATTAAAGATATTTATTGACATGCCAATGTTCAATCGAATTCGATTCTGTTTGATCAACGCGAGGTATCGCGTCACGTGTTGTTTACTATGGTGTTGATGGTGGGGTGTTAGAATGATGGGCTAAATAACAGTTATTGGAAATTTACCCACAAACGTGACAACCGCACCTAGTCAGATGCCGAAAAGTTTTGCAAAAACGGAACAAATTTGCACCACAAAATCCAAACAATTTATAAGCACTTAAATTTATAAGCACGGTAAATCAGACTGTTTCAAGCGGTAGCTATGGAAAAGAAATATTAATATTATTTACTGTCCTGCCCGTGTTTTTATTAGTCAGATGAGCGCTCCGACTGGCAAGCGGCTAGAATGACCTTCTAAAAGAAGCTTCTTTTAGAATCTTCTTAAGAAGCTTCTTTTAGAATCTTCTTAAGAAGCTTCTTTTAGAATCTTCTTAAGAAGCTTCTTCTGGAAGCTTCATTTAAACGCATCGTTTA